AGGTATGGGAGGTTGATTTTCAAGTTATCTAAGGCATTATGCTGTAAAGTACTATTTATTGGGTTGCTGATATAGTTTATGGTTATGGATCAAAATAGATCGATTATAAGGGATGATTAAAGGAAAATTTCTAATATAATCCTTTAATGGTTTTATTCATTGTAATTATGTCTCTAAGAATTTTAAATTAATATTGAATGGTCATAAAGTGACGGTTCAATCATATTAAATAAGTAAGGTTTAAATATAAAGGGGAAATTCAGTATATAAGAATAATTGATATTTAATCTCTTTATTTTCTCAAGAGCGTTTAAAATAATCTCCATGAATAATTATGTAATATGGAGGTAGTTGAATCCTTTTGGATTTATGAGTTTATATTATAATATTCTTTTGTTATTTAATACCTTATTTAAATTAACCAATTAAAAAAAAAAAGGGTTTACGATTTGGAATCTTAATGGGAAGTGAAGAAAAGGAATTGATTAGGATTGAGTATCCAATCTGTTAAAGAGTTCAACTAAGTTAAAAGGAAATGTAAATAGAAGTTGAGGGACCAATGTTGTTATTTTACCATTCTTAGAAATTGCATAATGATCCAAAAGTCCAACACGTACTTGTTTCTCCTACAATCGATGAAGGTGTCGACACATAACCAGTTAGAAGTTATTGTGCAGATCTGACACAATGTAAGGGTGTCAACACTTAGGTAATTTGCAGCAATTAAGCATTGGGTGGTTTTAAACTTTTTGATCTTGTATATTGATATTTATACACAATGTATCAGATTTTATATGAAGAATATCTATTAATATCTATTAATATAATCTTATTTTAGATCATATGCGCATAAAGAACATTTATTATGTGGTTTGATTTTATAAATTAAAATAATTGTTTACATAATAAATATATATTAACTCATTCCATCTAAATTAAAATAATATTAAGTATAACACATAAAATATGTATTAATATTTGGTGGTTAAAGATACATGATTAGTGGCAAATGAATTATTGATAAGATATGTTTTTCATTTTTGGTTTGAAATAATTTTGTGAATATTATTATGCATATGATATATGTTATAGAACACATCTTGGAGATTAAATTTCAGGATTTTGTTTAAAGCATTTAGCCACAATTGGAGGTACGTGAGTTTTATATGTATCTATTATTTATATATTGTAATATCCTTGGGTTAAATTTCTTGAAATTGGTTGCACTAATCATTTGCAAAGTTTTTAAATTTGACTATTAATAAAGAAATTTATGATCATAGATAAATGAGTAAATAATTGTGAAACTTTAGTTTTCGTTAAAGATTACTTACCTTCATATGTGGTTTAGCATATGAGTTTCCTAGCATTGTGTTTTCTAATAAGGAAATAAAGTGTCCATATTTGAATGTAAAAAATATATTTACAGTTGCTAATAAACTATTTATGCAAATTAATTATACATTTGGAGAAAGTATAATTGTTATTTTCTACTAACTTGATGGAAGTTAAGAAAATTTTCAGAGAATATGTATTAAAGGTGCATCAAGGAATGTTGAAAATTATAGTTTCAAAGATTTATCAAGTTGTATTAAGACAAACTACAAAGGTATAATCATGTAAGGTAATTGAGTGTGATTTTACTCATATTGATATTTTATTTAAGATAAAATTATTTGTTTTCATATGTAAGTTCTAGCATATAAATTTTATAAAGAGGTTTTGTGGAATTAAAGTTTGATTATATCTCATGACATATAATTTAAGGCTAAATCATTGGTTTTATAATAGATTTTGTTGGTAATTAATTACCTTTAAGGAATAATTATATGTCTATTTTGCATATTAATGATAGCCTAATTGTGGCAGTACATGAAATTTTTTAAAATCTCAGAGAAAAGATATTTGATAAAGTTTTAAGAATTTTAGAAGTTGTGTATTTTGGATAATTTAAGATAGTAAAGTAATCTTATATGAGTTTTCTTTGAGTGTTAAAGTAAGGGAACTATTGAGTATTGAAAGTCTTTTCAAAAGTTTTAGAATTCTCCCAATTCATATATTAAAGAATTACAATCATTAAAAAGTATAAAAGATGCTTGAGAGGGATTATTGAACTATATATATACATGATAGTCCTAATAATGTTTTATGACTAATATGAATATCAAGAGTTCATTTATTAGGGCTAATGATTTCTATCACTCAAGATTTTTTGGGATATTAAGAAATTTTGTTCCAATGGGAGATTGGTTAATTTTCCAATAAAGATTATGAAACGTTACATTATTTATGGATAATTGTTCTAGTGGGAGCTTGTTAGTTGATGTGGATGGTACTACAAAAGTAGACCATTTATTAAGATTCATATGTTTTTCAATAAAGATTCTAGAATGTTTTATTATTTATAGGTAAGTGTTCCAGTAGGAGTATGTGAATTGAAGTGGGTGATACTATCAAAGTGAGTCATCTATTAAATTCATATATTTCTCAATAAAGATTCTGGAATGTCTGCTTCTTGAAATTAATGTGTATAATCACCTGCCCAAAGGGGGTGATTGTGTATATTGACTAAAAGGAGTGTGAATAGTTAGTAAGGGTTTTTTATTCTGGTTTTATGGAGAATTTTTTGCCCAAAGGGAATTATTTTCTATGAGATCATTTTTATTAATTCACTTGTAATAAAGTTTTTTGAAGTTTAATAAAGTTTCATACCCATTGGTTATATTAAATTACTATGTCATTAAAACTAATTAATCTATTTGGAAGATCACATATGAATTATTAAAGTTAAGATATAAAGTTGCTAGTTTCATATTAGTGCATGCAAGATTTTGCCCAAAGGTGATTGTTGTATATATTGACTTGAAGTAGTGGGAGAAATTAGTAAAGATGATAAGTATTGAGTTATATGTATTAAAGGTTAATTTTCCTACTAATTGACTTGGTAAAATTTGATTTTATAAACTTATTTAATCAACGTAAAGTGTAAATAAAGTATAGTTGTGTCTTGAACTCTTGAACTCTTGTGAGTCAAAATGAATCATGCTATGGATTAAAGTATATTATGAGGCACTTTTATGGAAACAAAGTTTTATTATTAAAATTATATTACCAATGTTCGATTGGTGTTAATTTATGTATCTCTTAATGTTGACGACCACTTAAGATTTTTCAAAACAATGAAAAATTAAGTGTGAAATATATAAGAAAAGAGGAGTCGCCACTTGTCCAAATTATAAGGTGGGACAAGTCACCTAAAACAAGTCTGTGCAAAGATCGAGATTCGGGGGTTCAATTAGGAGTGAAGAAGGGCATACGCGCACTTTATAATCCTTCGTTTAAACACGGTTGCATACTTTAACATTTGGGTTTTAATTCAACTTATTTATTATCTTTATGTTTAAGTCTTAATAAGGAAACTTAAAAAAAAAAAAAAAAAAAAAACCAAAATTGAAACATTTTTAAATTTTCGACTAAAATGAACAAAATCAAGAACATGTATGCACAATAAGCACAAATAAACATTAAAGGGACTAATTTAATTAAATTTGAAACATGAAGGACTGACTGGATTAAATTTACAATCATAAAGGACTAATTTGAAAAGATTTGAAACCTTTGGACTAAATTGCTTAATTATGAAAGTTTTGGGTGAATTTGAAATAAACAAAGATAATTGTTGACTTAAAAATTAAAGATTTAAATTAATTAACTAAGATAATGAACTTAATTGAATGATTAACTTATTATTAATTAAAATTAATTAAAATTAATTAATCACACTATTTATATTTAATCAAGATAATTAAAAACATAATTATCTTAAATTAA